AGTATCACTACAGAAGTAGATTGCCCAACCTTCCTTCTGAAGAGTGGCTGGTGGGTTTGAACCGCCAGTTTCTGGTTAGCAGTCAAGTGCCTTAGGCACTATGCTACCAGAGCTCCTAGATGGAACCTATAGTTATTAAAAACTCAGAATAGTCATACTGGGAGTTTTTCAAGGGTCATTGACAAATGGTAGACAACAATTGCTCATTCCCACTGCAAATCCTCTTCACAATGAACAGAGGCCTGCACCTATATTCCCACCAGGGATTCCACCAACACAGAGAAAATTGAGTTAACAACCAAAGAAGTACACTCTCAGAGACATTAAAACATAAAACTAGGGTGCAAAAAATCAGTACATAACTAACAAATAAAGACAACTACTTTGAAATGTCTAGGAAATGACAGACAAATTCAAAACAAACAAACAAACAGGTCAATATAGTAGAAACAAGTGCCCAAGGTAAAGAATTAGGAAATTTCTTTGAAGAAGAACAAGCAATAGAGCTATCTGATAAGGAATTCAGAAGGTATATATAAAGAACACTCCAAGAGCTCAAGGAAACTGTAAACAGAAGTAATAAGAAGACGGACAGAACTCTGGAAGAATTCAGGACAATCATTCAGAACAAAATAACAAAATAAATACACAATTAGAACTCACACAAAAATAGCAATTAGAAATCCAGAAGATAAACACTAAAATTACAGATAGATAAAACATCATTAGAAGAACAAAAGAGTGGACCAGAACCAGCTGGAGGATGCATTTTCCAGCTAGAGGACAAATCCTTTGACACCAGCCTGTATGAGGAAAAATCAGAACAAAAACTTAAGAGAAATGAAGAAAATCTAAGAGTTATACAGGATAACTTGAAAGGAAACAACATACACCTGATTGGAATCCCAGAACAAAGGGAGGCAAAAAAATAAAAAACATTGAGAAAACTGTCAAAGACTTGCAAACAGAAAATTTCCCTCGTATCATAAAAGAAAAAAACATATCCATCCAGGAAGCTCAACGAACCCCATACAGAATAGATACCAAGAGAAAGTCACCAAGACATATCATAATCAAACTTTCCAAAACCAAAGACAAAGAATCTTGGGAACAGCTTGAGGGGGGGAGGAAAATTCACCTACAAAGGGCAACAGAAATGACTAAGCTCTCATTCTCAGCAGAAACCATGCAGGCAAGAATGCAACAGGATGGCATATACAAAACCTCGAAGGAAAAGAATTGCCAACCAAGAATTATATATCCAGCCAAACTATCCCTCAAATATGAGAGTGAAATCAAGACATTCCCAGAAAATAGAAATAAAGGAACTACCTAAAGGGAGTCCTTCCAATAGAGAACCCATAACAGGGAACAAAAAATTAATTCAAGACACTTAACACCACCACCTAGAAAGCAGACCAGAAAAAAATTCTCAAAATAAGCTCACAAAAAAAAAAAAAAAAATGCACATAGAGAAATAGAGGAGTCAATCTGCAAACAACACCAGCAACCAAGCAAATAGAGGGAATAAAAGTTTTAATTACAAAACTTCCAAATGGAGAGGAAGACAGGAAAACGTTTTTATAGAAGAGACTGTTCCAAACTTAGAGAGATAAGAATTTGCATCATGGTAACCACAAAGAAAATTAACAATCCTTCTAACCAAACTAAGGAAAAAGGGAATTACAAGGACTTAGTAAGCACAAACTAAGAATAATGAAGAAAAGAGAAAAAAACATTTGACAACAAAATGAACTCAGCACAGAAAAATGCTTGGAACAAAGAAATCACCAACAACACAACAAAAAACAGAGTAGAATAAAGCAATAAATTCATACTTATCACTAATTACACTCAATGTGAATGGACTAAATGCACTAGTCAAGAGAAAGAGAGTGGCAGATTGGATAAGAAAATAAGACCCATTGATATACTGCCTACAAGAGACCCACTATAGTCACAGAGATAAAAATAAATTAAAATTAAGAAGTGGAAAAACTCTATTAAGCTAATGGCAACCAAAAAAGAGTGGGAGTGGCAATATTAATTTCTGATAAAATAGACTTCAAGGTGAAAAACAGCAAAAGGGACAAAGAAGGACACTAGGTGAGGCTAAAAGGATCAATTGACCAGGAGGACATTAACATAATAAAGTATCTATACACCCAATGAAAGAGTTCCAAAACACATAAAGCAAATATTAACTGAATTGAAAGGAAAAATAAACAATTCTACAATAGTAGTAGGAGACTTTAACACACCATTTTCAAGGAAGGACAGAACAACCAGAAAAAAACTCAACAAAGATACAGAAGAACTCAACAACACACTTGACCAACTTGACCTCATAGACGTATACAGAGCACTCTACCCAACAAAAGCATAATACCTGTTCTTCTCCAGTGCACATGGATCATTCTCCAGAATAGACCATATGTTAGGCCACAAAACAAGCCTCAATAAATTTATAAACACTGAAATAGTACAAAGCATCTTCTCAGATAACAATGCTATAACATTAGAAATCAATAATAGGAAGATCAAGGAAAAAAATCAAATATGTGGAAATTGAATAATACACTGCTCAAAACCTACTAGGTAACAGAAGAAGTAAAGTGTGAAGTTAAAAAAAAAAAAAAATCCTAGAAACAAATGAGGATGAAAATACAACTTACCAACATCTTTGGGACACAGCAAAAGCAATGCTTGGATGTCAATTTATAGTAATAAATGCACACACCAAAAACAGAAGAAAGAATCAAAGTCAGCACCACTTTAACTTAACAACTCCAACAATTAGAAAAAGAGCAACAAGAGAAATCCACAGTATCCAGAAGTAAGGAAATAATAAAGATTAGAGCAGAAATAAATGAAGCAGAAAACAACAACAACAAAAAAAAAAAATAGAGAAAATCAACAAGACAAGAAGCTAGTTCTTTGTAAAGATTAATAAAATTGACAAACCTCTGGCAAATTTAACAAAGGAAAAGAAAGAGAAGATGCAAATAACACAAATAATAAATGAAAAGGGTGACATCACAAGAGAATCACCTGAAATTAAAAACAAGGATAATAACAGAATATTATGAGGAACTGTACTCTAATCAGAAGGAAGGTTGGGCAATCTACTTCCATAGTGATACCGCCTTGGAAACCCAAGGAGGGGTCGCTATGAGTCGGATCCAACTCAATGGCAATGAGTTTTCTTTTCTTTCTTTCTTTCTTTTTGTACTCCAATAGATTTGAGAACCTGGAGGAGATGGACAAATTTCTAGAAACACAAGACCTACCTAAATTAACCCAGGTTAAGATAGGATACTTGAACAGACCCAAAACAAAAGAAGAAATTGAACAGGTCATAAAAAAACTTCCTACAGAAAATGTCCTGGCCCAGATAGCTTCACTGGAGAATTCTAGCAAACATTCAGGAAAGAGCTGACACCTATACTATTCAAACTATTGCAGAACAGAGAAAATGATGAGATACTCCCAAAATCATTCTGTGAAGCAAACACAACACTGATACCAAAACACTAAAAAGACACTACTAAAAAGGAAAACTACAGACCAATATCCCTCATGAATATAGCTGCAAAAATCTTCAACAAAATCCTAGCCAGTAGACTCTCACAACATATCAAAAATAATAATGCATCATGACCAAGTAGGATTCATACCAGGTATGCAAAGATGGCTTAACATTAGAAAAACGATCAATGTAATTCATCACATAAGCAAAATAAAGGAAAAGAATCACATGATCATATCAATTGATGCATAAAAGGCATTTGATAAAATCCATACCCATTCCTGATTGAAAAAAAAAAAAAAAACTTCTCAGAAATATAGGAATAGAAGGGAAATACCTCAACATAATAAAGGGCATATATGCAAAACTGACAACCAACATTATTCTTAATAGAGAGAGACTGAAACTCTCCCTTTGCAAACAGGAACCAGACAAGGATGCCCTCTATCTCCACTTCTATTCAACATTGTATTGGAAGTCCTAGCCAGAGCAATAAGGCAAGAAAGGGAAATCAAAGGCATCCAAATCAGTAAGTAAGAAGTAAAGCTATCCCTGTTTCCAGATGATATGATCCTATACATAGAAAACCCAATAGCCTCAGCAAGAAATAACTAATAAGAAATCTTATTTGATCTTATTGAAAGATTTACCATGGGGGCAGGATGCAACATACAAAAATCAGTTGGATTCCTCTGCACCAGCAATGAGGTCTCTGAAAAGGAAATAAGGAAATCAATACCATTTACAATAGCTACCAAAAAGATTAAATACTTGGAAATAAATCTTATCACAGAAGACCTATAGAAAGAAAACTACAAAACACTACTACAAGAAACTAAAAGAGATCAACATAAATGGAAGAATGTGCTGTGTTCATAGATAGGAAGATCAAATATTGTGAAGATGTCAATACTACCCAAAGCAAGCTATACATTCGATGCAATCCCAATCCAGATTCCATTAACATTCTTTAAGAACATGGAAAACCCAATCACTAAATTCATATGGAAAGGAAAGAGACCTCAGATAAACAAAACACTGCTGAAGAAGAAAAACAGAGTAGGTGGTCTCACACTCCTGGATCTCAAAAGCCACAGTAGTCAAAATAGCATGGCATTTATTGGTACAATGATAGACAAAATAGACCAATGGAACAGAATCAAAAACCCTACAATAGACCTATCCATCTATGGACAGCTGCTCTTTGATAAAGGGCCAAAAGCCTTTAAATGGGGGAGAAATAGACTCTTTAGCAAGTGGTGCTGGCCAAACTGGATATCCACTTGCAGAAAAATGAAACATACATCACCCCATACACAAAAATGAACTCAAGTTGGATCAAAGACTAAACGTAAAACCCAAAACTATGAAGTTCATCAAAGATAAAATAGAGACTATTTTTCTCCAGGCATCCTTGTGTGAGTGGTATCGTCTTTAAACCCTGAGTGGCAATCCCTGATACACTGCTGTGATGCCCAGGGAAGACAGGGCGACCTGGAAGTCCAACTACTTCCTTAAGATCATCCAACTTTTGGATGACTATCCAAAATGCTTCATCGTGGGAGCAGACAATGTGGGCTCCAAGCAGATGCAGCAGATCCACATGTACCTCCGTGGGAAGGCCATGGTGCTGGTGGGCAAGAACACCATGATCCGCAAGACCATCCGAGGGCACCTGGAAAACAACCCAGCTCTGGAGAAGCTGTTGCCTCATATCTGGGGGAATGTGGGGTTTGTATTCACCAAGGAGGACCTTACTGAGATCAGGGACATGCTGCTGGCCAACAAGGTGTCAGCTGCTGCCCATGCTGGTGCCATTGTCCCATGTGAGGTGACTGTGCCAGCAGCAACATTGCAGACACCCTCCGGGAAGCGAGAGTGCAAAGTGTCCTCTGTGATGTCCAGCACTTCAGGGTTGTAGATGCTGTCATTGTCAAACACCTGCTGGATGATCAGCCCAAAGGAGAAGCAGGAGATGTTTAGCATGTTCAGCAGGGTAGCTTTGCTGACACCCACTTTGTCTCCAGTCTTAATTAGCTGCACGTCACTCAGGATTTCAATGGTGCCTCTGGAGATCTTAGTGGTGATACCAAGAGCCTGGAGGAAGGAGGTCTTCTCTGGATCCAGACCAGTGTTCTGGGCTGGCACAGTCACCTCACATGGGACAATGGCACCAGCACGGGCAGCAGCTGACACCTTGTTGGCCAGCAGCATGTCCCTGATCTCAGTAAGGAGGGTCGACAAAAGAGGGGGAGGACTTCAACGAGATGGATTGATACGGTGGCTGCGATTGATGGGCTCAAGTATAGCAGGGATTGTGGGGCTGGTGCAGGATCGGGCAGTGTTTCGTTCTGCTGGTGCATGGGGTCGCTATGAGTCGGAAATGACTCGATGGCACTTAACAACAACAACAACAACAACAATGAGGTTCCGGAGAGATTGGAACTCTCATACATTGTTGGGGGCTCTGTAAAATGGTACAGCCACTGTGGAAAATGATATGGTGCTTCCTTGAAAATAGAAATACCATATAATCCTGCAATTCCATTACTAGGAATATACCCTAAAGAGGTAAGAGACAGAACAGGATAGACTTATGCACACCCATGTTTATCGCAACACAATTCACTGTAGCAAAGAGAGGGAAATAACCAAAATACCCATCAACAGATGAATAGACAACCAAACTATGGTACATTCACACAATGGAATACTATACAGCAATAAAATATAAGGAAGAATACATGAATCATCTCACAACATGATGAATTTGACATTAAAACCAAACTCACTGCCATCAAGTTGATTCCAACTCATAGCAACCCTCTTTGGGTTTCTGAGGTGGTAAATCTTTATGGAAGTGGATTGCCCAGTCTTCCTTTCACAGAGTGGCTGGTGGGTTTGAACCGCCAACCTTCTAATTAGCAGTCAAATGCCTTAGGCACCACACAACCAGAGCTCCTCGTGGAGAACATTATGCTGAGTGAAATAAGTCAATCACAGAAGAACAAATATTCTTTGAGTCTGTTATTGTAAAAAGTTAAGGAAAGGTTTACACAGGAAGGGAAATTCACTGTTGGTTACTGGGGATGACAGGGAAGGGGAGCAAAAATTTTGGATTAGTTGGGGGTCACACGTTGATTTGGGTGAGTGGAGCGGCAGTAAGAGTCTGTGACCAGCACAGGGACAATGGGGAAAGGGAGGACACAGAAACGTGCACAAAAGATATAGACAACAGAGGTAAATTCTATTTCATGCATAATACTACATTAACAGTGGCACCAAACACTAGGCTATGGATAAATGCATTGACAGGTGAGAAGATGAGGTGGGAGTAGGCAAACAGGAATAAACCCAAGACCAAGGATAGATTTTGTTGAAGACAGTCTTACATACATACATGTGCTACAAAATATCCACATACATTACAGAAGAGAGGACAAGGTTGGAGCAGCTTCTCAGAGACAACCAAACACCTTGAGGGAGAGAATCACTGGACCTGCAGGCTTGGGAGGTTTGGGGGACATCATGCTCAACTGGCACAACATTGTACATAAAAACCTTGTTCTACATCCCACTTTGGTGAGCAGCGAGTGAGGTCTTAAAAGTTTTCAAGAAACTATTTGTCTCCTCTTGTCTAGAGCAAAGAAAAGTGAAGAAAAGCAAAATCATTTGGAAACAATTAGTCCAAAGTTATGATGGACCACAAGGACCTCAGCCTTCATGACCCCAAGACCGTAAGAACTAGATGATGCCTGGCTACCAATGCCAACCACTTGGAAAGGGATCAAAATTGAAGATCTTGGATAGAGTGGGAGGAAAAATGTAGCACAAAATTCAAAAACACAAGAATGACCAGAATTACTGGTCAAATATAGACTGGGGGAACCACCAAGACTAATGGCCCTGGGTTATCCTTTGAGGCCTAGAAATGGACTCACTTCCATGGGTTGGCTCTCAGCCCAACAGTAGAAAGACCTACATGCAGAACATGTACCCCAGGGAGATGCACCACCTACCCTAGGGAGATGCACATCTTAGATCAATCAGCCATGAGACATCAGAGGGGGCAGCATTCACATAGAGGAAGAGCTGGACAGACAGGAATGCAGAGACAAGAAGGGCACAGGGAGGGGGTAGTCACAGGCAGGAGAGGGGAGGAGTTTTTTATGGTTGGGGATTATAATCGGAGCTATGAAATCAAATGTGCATGAACTGTTGAGAGTAAAACAAGTCTGCTTTGTAAATTTGCACCCAAATCAAAATTTAAAAAGAAAAAAAAAAAAAAGAAGAAGAAGTTCTACTTGTAAAGGACTGTTATGAGGTGGCCTGACTCCCATTAAGATAGTGACCAAAAATTGGTAGGATGGACCCATTTTTGTTTTGTCTGCTGTATTACTTTTAAATTGATCACCAACACATAAAAATCAGGATATTTCACACCAATATGAACTTTGTGGCTTGGACTGAAACATCAGAAGATCTGGCCACACTAGGTCCACACTTCTACACAGGAACCATCACATGGTGATAAGTAGCTCTAATTCTCTCTAGCTTGGGCATATGCTTTTCATTTTGTCATAGTCCCCATACAACCCACTTCACTAATTTAAGAGAGATGACTGACTTAAGCCCACTTGCTGATTCATTTTGAGTTTCAACATTCTTTGTGTCTTCAGTGGTCACCATGGCCCAAATAACACTGATTCTCTGCATCTGAGAAGCCCCTGTAGGTAAAAGTCCCAGATTTTGTCTGTAACAGACTCACTGCCATCGAGGTGATTTTAACTCACAATGACCCCTCCTTGGGTTTCCAAGGCAATATCACTATGGAGATAGATTGCCCATAAGTGCTCAGTAATGTTCCTTTACTTTTCTACCACTCCTTGCACAGAGCAACAAAACTATTTATTTCAGACTTTGTGAACTTTTTGCAAACAACAATGGACATTTCTATACTTTCTCATGTATTATTGGAACTCTGGGGTGATTCCAGATTTGCCCTCCCATCCCACCCTGCCTGGAGCCATCAAGGGTAGCAGAACCCCTTGCACAGGCCTGGTTTCCTGGGTCCTCTGGGGGTGGAGTACATGGCAGCTCTGAAGAACACTTTGTCCACAGCCTGAAGCCTTGTACAGCTTGTTTGGCCACATTGCTTTCCTCTACCCTGGAGAAGGGGTGCTACTAAATTTGCAAAATCAATCTTTCTGTGCCTAACCAGAAGCAAGTAGAATGTCTTCTGGCAGGTTAACAGAGTCCTCTCCTTGTCACCCTCTACCAGCCTTCCGAGCAAGCTAAAAACTTTCTGGAAGGCTTCTGTGGAGATCCTACTTGTTTCCAAAGTATTGCACTTATGTTAATAACAACCAAAAGTGACATCTTTGCTTTCTGAAACTTTAAAGAGGTTTTTATGCAGCAGATTTGCCCAATGCAATACATCTTTGATTTCTTGACTGCTGTTTCTATGGATGCTGATCATTGATCCAAGTAGAATGAAGTCATTAACAGCTTCAATTTCTTCTCCATTTATTATGATGTTATTTATATCAGTCCAGTTGTGATGACTCAGGTGCATCTGGCTCGAGCCATGATCATTTCAATTGCCTCATATGCATGTGAAAGTTGAATAATGAAAAAGGAAGACAGAAGAATTGATGCATTTGAACTTTGGTGTTGGCAAATAATAACAAATATACCATGGAGTGCCAAAAGAATGAACAAATCAGTATTAGAAGAAATACAACCAGAATATTCCTTCAAAGCAAGGATGGTGAGACAGTAATAACTCATTTAGATGTTTAGGCTAAAGGAATTGCTAGCCAACCAGGGCTTCACTTGACAAATATCTCTTCCCCTGTGCCTGGCCCTTAAAATCTCTAGGATCATTTTTATGCAAGACCAGAGGAAGTGATTTTTTGAACAAATATAAAATAATGCCCATATGCTCTCACTATGGCAGACTTTGAATGGTATAGTTTGTAAAGGAATGATAGCTTTTTAAATTTTTTTTTAAAAAATTTTATTGTGATTTGGGTTTACAAAGCAAATTCATCTTCAATACAGCAGCTCACATACACTTTGTCTCATGACATTGACTGCAGTTTCCAACAATAACAGCTCCCCTCCCACTTACTCTCCATAGTTACCTCTTCCCTGTGTCCTTCCCTCCATGCACTCCTGCTCCCCAAACTGTCTCTCTGTGCATACACAGCCCTTCTATTCTCCCATGATTGATCACTCCAAGGAATATATCTACCTACTGTAAATGTTCAGCTCATATGCCTGTCTTTTGTTTGTCTGGAAGCCACAGACAATCCCAGACCTGAAGGGCACTTAGGAGCCATAGTCTCAGGGGTTCCACCAGGCTCTAATAGATTAGCAAAACTGGTCCCCCCCTTTTTTTTTCTTCCAAATGATTTTGAATTTTGCTTTACATTGCTCTCCCACTCTGTCCAGGATCTCCTATATAGATCCCCCTCCAAGTGGTTGACAGTGGTAGCTGGGCACCATCTAGTTCTGGTCTCATAGTCATATAGGCTGAGGATCACATGGTGTACCAGTCCCCTGGACTAATTGTTTCCATGTGTCTTTGGTTTTCTTCATTCTTCTTTGCTCTGAATGAGGAGAGACCCAAGGAATAATAGCTTTTGTACTATGAGATCCTTGTGCTGGATCATGGATGGCTAGAGATAAGAATAAGCATCAAAGTTTTAGAGTTGCTTGATTAGGGGTGATAGAAAAAGTATATTTTATTCATTATAGTATCTCCTCCACCAGAATAGTGCTTGGCATAGAATGTGTGCTAAATGAATGGTTGCTGGATAAATTAATAAATGAACTAAGCCATGAGCAGGATGTTCCATCTCAGTAATGTTCCTTTGTAGCAACCTAATACATTACTGAAGAACATGAGGTATAAGG